AACATTTTTAAAACGTAACCGGAAAATTTCAAAAAAGCAAACAGGGTAATTTTTGATACACGCATATAAAAAACTAAGGATGATTTGGATCAAACAAGTAGGTTAAGTACCTATTATTTTGATTTTTTTTTTTTAATCACGTTCAAAAGCGGTAACACCATACGAGCAAGCTGCATCCCAAAACGTAAGCATAAAGCTCTATTTAGGTTTTAATACCTAAAGGTAAAGATGATAATGAATATGAGCTATCTGAGGGAAAATTGATTTGCTTAAAATATTTACCGGTTTTTCCGTTATCGAAAAACTGACACGACTCGTCTGTGTATAAGAGAAACAATAGAGAATATTACGACCATATCAACTTGGAACACGGAAAAATGTACACATGATTATTACGGGTAAATGTTTATCGCGAGTAATTAACCGTGTAAACACACAAATGGAAGGAAACGACGGTGGCATTTTAGACTGTTGGGAAGGGGGATAAAAAGAAGACACTGGCCAAATACACAGGGAAAACACAATTTTTTTTACACGCAAGGAAACGCGTTTGTCGCTGGTGTTCAGTGAAATTCTCGAACAGCGGTTAAGCGCGTAGCGAATGACAAGATCAAGGATTTCTGAGTCAAGAAAGACGGTGTGGCCTCCAAGTCCAGATATTGCGGGAGAACAAGGCTGTGAGTAGGTATAACATATCACAGACGGAGAGAGAGAAAAAATACTTCTAACCTTGTGCGAAAACACAGCGGTAGGTGTAGCTTTTATAATGATAACCGTTCGGTATATGTCGATTACTATTTTATTAATTATAACAATAAATATACATAGTAAATCATACTAAACATTTTATTTTCTTAAAACGCACTGGACTTCACTGAAATGATGACTATTATGACTACAATTTAAGAGGGCGTCGCACCGGTGATTTTCAGTGATAAAAACATGTTTACGCCAATTGAAAATAACTCGCTTAATTTTGGTTTTAGAGTAAAATCACCCATTATAATATTCAAAAGAGAAAAATATTTCAAAGAGAAAGATGGTGTGGTTTTGAAAAAAATTCATTTTTTGAAAAGTTACAGTCATTTAAAAATGTTAAAATAGTCGTTATTTCTAAACTATGTTATACTGCGTTATACTACGTTATACTTCGAATAATGAAAAAAACGCACCGTCTTGCCCTCCGGAAAATTTTTTTCTTTTAATTTTATAATGGGTGCTTTTACTCTAAAACCAAAATTAAGCGAGTTATTTTCGATCTGCTTAAACATGTAGAGATGAAAAAACATTTTTAAATCGTTTGCAAGGATGCTGTGATAGTCCAAAAAATAAATTAACTAATAAATAAAATAGAGTCCTAGTTATTGAACTAACAATTACACATCACAGTTAACCTTTAAATTAAGATTTTTTAAAAAATTGCCTATACTTTACTCCTTAAAAATGGGGGGTCCAACACCGTCTTAAGTATAAAATCACACTTAATAAAAAAATAATTGCTTCGATGTGAATCAGTAGATAAGAAAAAATATTACTAAACAATTATTAAATATCAATAAAAAACCATTATGTCGTTAATGGTGTAGGGCACAGGTGTCATAAGAGGTTTTTTTTGCACTGGGGGGAAGGGAGTAAATTGAGTTTTGTACAGCAATACCTAATAAATAGTTTTTTACACAACATATTAAAAAATAAGAAGCTAAGAAATCAGAATACTAATTTTCGAATTATAATATAATAACAATAGATATTATTTATAAACGACATTCCTTAAAGTTACACCGCACACTTCAGTTAGCTGTGCGCTGAAAATCCGAATGTTCACAACAATGTTATCGTCGAGTCTGATTAATAGAATGTGAATTTGAAGGTATATATATATATCTTATTTAAGAATATTTTATTGAAAAGTTAAAAAAAAAAAATTATACAATTTTTAAAAAACTGGTTATTTTGATAAAAATTGTTTTTTAATTTTTTACATTTTTTTCATTCAGCAGTGCTTTAAAAGAATTTTGGTGTTGTACAATATTTCTATTTACTATTTGGACATCTTTTGTTTCAAGACTTTAAGATAGTAGCATCTATATTATTTTTTTGTAACTCCGGATTTTGAAATCCCTAATAAAGCAGAATTTTGTTTATAATGGTGTTATAATATGTTCTTTATTCTTCCCTCGAAAAACAATTTTCTATTGAAAGAAACTGTATACTCCATAGGTACACGCAAGATTATCTTAAGTCTAATTTTCGGACCCTAAAACTAAAAGTTGCCGTAAAAATGGGAAATAAAAACAAGTTTTCATCTTTTCTGGAGGTGTGCGACTCTTTTGCGGAATGTTACATCATGTTTAATTTTAATTATTCAAAGGAATCGAATTTTTATCGATTTCGAATGGGAGGTGTTGAATTTTGTTTAATATTTTCCTTGTATATACGACCTTTGGCGTAGGTGCGATTTCTAATTTATAGACCGTACCGTATACACAAAGAAGTCGATTAGGTTAAAAAGTTATCGCGGGTCCCGACTCCTGACATAAAAAAAGATAAAAATAACACTAGAAAAAGCACTTTAATACAACACAAATACATTCTCAGCTCTGCGTCGAATCTAAAACAACATCATTGTTGAGGCGTGCAAGATAAACTGTCAAATCTGAATTAAGCATCTAACCGTGTTTTTTTGTGTTTTGATAATAAACAAAAACATCTGAGTAAGAAAATCAAAACAATACCATTTCACCACGACTGTCTTCGAGTTCCGGAAGTGTTAAAAATCACATTTTAGTTTTAAAATCCTGAAAATAGGCATGGCGGCAAGCATACGTGATCACCACAGCCACCGTTAAAAACGTCTGAAATGCTCTACTTTGACCATTTATTTAACAGTTTTAATAACTGTTATATAAGGACTTTACCTAATTAAAAAAACCCTTCTTTTTATACATTTTGAAGATAAAGAAACGACATATTGTAACAGATTAAGAATGTTTAACAAAAACAACATTTTTATTCTGTCAATACTTAAGTTGAAATAAAATGCTCGTTCATCGGTAATTAAAAATGTTCGTTTAAATTAAGAAAACATTCACACAAAAAAATATGGAAATAAAACTGAAAACAATTTAGCATGTTATATTAACGCAATATTGCTTTCCTGTTATGTTAACACATTTTATTTTGTAATATCTCGAGTTGAATAGTTTATAATTAATGATATCGAATAATAATAGTATTGTATTTTCTTATATTACCAAGAAAACAAAGGAGTTCGGAAAAATTAAAATGTTTTTTTATCTTTTAAAAGGTTTTAATATAATTAACAAAACTAAAATAAAATCAGGCAAAGTGCGTTGCTAATTTTTCCAGAACGCCTCGTTTAGATTTTTATATTATGTAAATATTATTATTATTTTTGTTATTTAGCTAAGAACATAAATTAAACTTATGTAACCGTTGAGTATTTTACTGTTGACTATACGATAGGCAAAACACCATATCGTTACTTCAATAGTAATTAAACGTACGTCGACGTATTTTTATAAGAACTTTTATTTTCTGAAATATATTAAAATTCTTCGTCTATATTACATAAGCTTTAATAGTCATTTCGAGCCGAGAACAAATAACATTAAAATTAGAACATTTTTTTATTTTTTAAAAATCAACAACTAGAGTTTTAATGTCACTCAAAGTCTATCCGCAAATTAGATCCACACTGGACCGTACCTTGTATTTAGATGGTTATTGGTCAATGTTCGGTAACAAATGAAATGCACTATAGGTGGAAATCTCTAGTGATATGGGTAAGGGTGCTTACCACTCCCCAGTGATTAAATTTTAAGTTTTTTTAAATAGTTTTCAATAAAATATTAAAAAATATTGGGTAGAGTTATCAAAAATTTAAAAACCAAACAATTTTTCGATTTTCAAATTCACGATTTTGTACAATAAGTTAGTTTTTTAAAATTAAATATACTATCAAAGATAAGAATGAGTAAAATCTGGTTTAAATGATTAGAGATTGTGAAAACATCACACTATTAAATGAGTTAGGCACCAGCTGTTGATAATAGGTTTGGTTAGGCACATTCATTTCTCATTTTCAGACCGACTACTGCACAATTATTAACTAAGTTGACTTTTTTGACATATTATAATATTATGTCCACCTCTGGGCTTAAAGCGTTTGGTCAATTAAGAAATCATAGTGTAAATTATAAGCTTCCATATAAACATACATTGATAATTGTGTTGAGTGTATATACTCTAGGAGTGCGTACGTCAAATTTAAAGTGTCCACGCCCCGTGAAGTGGAAAGATAAGTTTTTATTATGCAAACGATTTTCGGTTGGTTTGTATTTTAGAGAAAGTCGTTCGAATCAAAACATTTTCGAATCACTTCTGTTATTTGCGTTACATATTTTAATATTACAATCAAACGGTAAAATACTATGTATACTGCTACGCAAACAGCAATATTCTACCAAAATGTCCGGATAAGAAATATTCGGAACCAATTCAAAATTGTACACTACAATATCAGATATTTAATAACTTAAATTCAAAATCAATTTTTACAATGGGGCTTATTGTCTTTAAAATGTATTACAAATTTAACATTTCAAAAATATCGTCAACATTTTTACTATATTTTAAGTACGTGTACACATTTTTTTTTTTGAGTGAGTTAAGCTTATATCTGTGTAAAATTTGTCGGTGGACACGTTTTTTTAATTAGGACGGTTTTTAGTTGACATTCTTTTATGTATTCGACATTTCTTAACTGTACATTTTTAAACTATAAACTAAGTTTTTTTTGCTGTTGACTGTAGCGATTATTTTTGTATTCCTCTATGCCGGGGTTAAAGCAAAGCTGAGTTAGAACGCGCTTGTGCTTTCAACAAAATAGGCGTTGAATCTGTCTAACTACGTGTATTATACAAAGCGCAACTCTTCATTCTATTACAGTCGAAAACATTATATAAGTTATGAAGTACCTGACGACTTGCGACTGCCTCTTTTTGGGACATTGGTCAGCGATTGGGTTTTCTTACCTGTAACAAAACGCTTATAAGAAAAAAAAAAGAACAGTAACCACTCTCGGTTCGTCGTCTATCTACATTAAAATAATACAAAAGCAAAACGAATGAAGGGTCCAGGGTAAATTCACTTATAACACAAATTTTGGTTAATTAATTAAAATTTGAATAGGAATATAAAGCAGTACTTTCTCCAGAATACCGAAGTATTATCGTTTTTTCCCGGCTTTAATGAGGTTTTACCCCAGATATGAATGCACGTGGCGATGGTACTCTTAGAACGGTACACGATGGCACTGTTGACTCATTTCGAATAATTTGCTGTAAAGTGGTTGTACCCCTGGACCCTTCAAATATCAACAACAGCTCTTGTCGGGTAAATCGGTTTGCCGGCCTGAACGTATACGGTATATAAGCGTGGACGACGGTTGTGTTGCCTATAGGTCAAGGAGCCGTTTTCCATTTCATCGAATTTCGGTCAAAAACTTAATACGTATTATTATTATTATATACATACAGTTTACATGCGCTCTCTCGTCTTTCTATAAAGTTTTCAAACAATCTATTACGTAATCACACGTGGCCCTTAACTGTTGTTTTGCGTCAGACAAGTAGACATTCGCCGAATCCCGAACAACCGCTATGTATAAATTATAATATATACATATTGCACCGGTGTGTATAAAACGTATACCTCCGACGCCGTCTTAGATTTTTCGTCATTTAAAAAAAAAAGACAACGGCACACGAATCCGTCTAGTCCATTAGGTTATTAAAGAAAAAAAAACCTGTATAAGAAATACGGTGGCAAGGATGTTTTTTTTTAAAAGTCGTCCTTGTGCTGCGGCCGCCCGAAAAATATTTAAACACACGCTTTATATTATTATTATTATTACATTCACCACCCAACCCCTCTGCCACCACACACCCTTCGTGTGTACGCGAATTATGTGCAGGACACACGACCGAAATGGCTAACGCATAAAAGAACATTAGGGATTTCACTTAGCCGGTATAGACCTCATAAACGGCTATGACGTTATTATTATATTATGCTTATACGTATAAACACATAGCCGCTTTCTAGTTTCAACCCCAATCTCGCTGCAGTCTACATATGCGCATATATTATACATAATGGTTGGACGGAGGCGTCACGCCAATCTCCGGGGACCGACGATTTTACTATTATCTCCAATCAATATACCTATATATTATTATATTTATTATAAATATATATATATAGTATTATAATAAAAACCTTGCCGTGATATGCAATAGAACACGGCGTGTTCTAGTATCCGCCCGTTATAATACACTTGTATTACCCCGAAACTCAATTTCATTAAAAGAAAACCCACCGTTTAACTCCAAAAGACATGTATACAATTTATTATTAAATAAATACGGAACATACAATATTCTAGTATTTACTACCACAGATTGGTAATGACCCATTTTATATTTTTTTTGCTATTTTTTTTTTGTTGGCTAGTTAGGCGATTTGCGCAATTTACAAAATGGGCAAAAAAAGTACTAATTTTATAAAATTGACTACAAATAAGTAGTGTTGCACAGCTGTTCATGAACTGGCCACGCAATGAAATTGTTACCGACGCATGTCAAAATTGTATATAAAGTAGTTATCTTTAAATTTGTTTGGATGTACTTTGCACATTAAAACTGTTTAGTTTCATAAAAAAGATCCTACCGAGAAATATTTGATAAACGAATAATGCGGGAAAAAAATAGTAAAATACAATAGAATGCAAAATTGACATATAAACGTCGTGTCAACAATAAATGTTAAAATGTATTTGACATTTTTGAATAAAGTTAATTTAAGTGCCCACTTGTGAAAGTCCTATAAAAGTCGATATAAGATACAAATAACGTTAACATTTTAACGTTTTTTTTTTTTATTTAATACACTATTGACTTTAACATATTAAATTAACATGTGCCCATTGAAAAACTGACCAGATATGTGTGAAATTTGCCCATTTCATGAATTGTGTAAATCGCTTACTTAATCATTTCTTGGATTGAGCAAAAAATGTCTCTTTCGTGAAATAGGGAGGTTAGGCAAGGTTACCGTTTGGGATAAATTTCCATTTCATATAATACAATGGAATCACCAAAATATGCAGTTGTAGGATTTCCCACTTAATTAAGACGGAGTCAGTCAAGGATGAAAGAAAACGCCAAATTAGAAGAGGTAAGTTTAGGATAATTAATAGCACCCTACCGGCGGACAGAGCACCAATGAAGAAGGAGAGGGTGAATATTGTGAGAAACATTTCCTCCCCTTAAGGTAAGGTTACTTTTACCTAGTCAAGGGTGATAAAACACCCTCTTGTTCTATCATACTATATACTGACAGTTCGTTAGTTGAAAGTAGTGTATACACACTTTTTCACGGTTTTCTCAGAATCCCTTTAACGATCTGACCGATAGGACGGTATTATACCAACTAGGATTTTAGAAAAACATTTTTTAGGACAAATAAACAACATTTAGTTACATATACCGTTTATCGTTGATTAACCGATTTGGTTTTAATTCAAACCACTAGTTACAACACATATATATATATACTCGGACTGACCTATTATGACGAAATGGAGATTTATATGGGAATAAAGAATTGTTCACCATGCATGACAACAGCACGGAAACGAGACTAGAAAACGTGTCGAAATTAATATAAAATTATTATTATAACTAAATACAGATTTAGCCCTTATGGCCTATCGTGTTTCCCCGAATCCAACCACTGCGCCTACTGCCTACTGTGGTTTACTTAACCAGATACTGTGGTAGAGAAAAAAAAATGTAGAACGGATAGATTTTCGATCCAACGTATCACGTTTCTCTCATCAACCATTCACAGTGTCCTCCAAACAAATACTTAGATGTTATTACTTAAATTTAATTTGTATTAAAAATGATTTAAACATGGTACATACTACTCAATTTCTTACTATACTATTATCATCACTATAATATGCACCGAAATCATTTATAGGCATCAGGCGATATATTATCATCGCAACGCGTCACTTTAAACGGGTTTCCAAAAGCTACTACACGTATAATATAATTATTACTTTTCAGCAATATAGTGACCGTCATGGACGTAACAAGCGAAATGTAAATAGTATTAACATGTATTATAATATTCGTTTGGCCGAAAGTAAGAGGACAGGTTTTGTGCGAGTAAATTTAATATCAACAAATACAAAGGTTACGGTCATAACACGTGGTATCAAACACGGTAATAAGCAATCTATAATGACTAATAAAATATATATTATAACTATTTTGATATAACTTGTTTGTGCGAACACGATCAGTTTTGAATTGATTGCGAAACAACGGTGATTTTACAATTTGGTTTTAAAAAGTACAACATTTTATTCCCCCTCACTATAAACGCCATGTTTTTCAACGTTCGTGTCCGTCATCCAATATTGGATACTTAAATACAGTAACCCTATATAAATGTATGTAATTAGAACTATTCTCATCGCCCAGTTAACGTATAGGGTTACTGTTTGTATATGTAAATATATAATTAACAACGATCGACCCTGAAGAAACTTCTGAAGATAATTAGGTTGTACTCAAAAGTAGAATAAGGATAAAAAAATCGTTCAAATTTAAAAGGAACTGTTGCAATTGACTACAATAAACAAACTGTTGGGATTTTCTAAATAAAATTTATAGAGAAACTATAACAACATGTTAAGCAACTAATTTACTAACATTCTCTTGAGTAATATTAGTGGTCAAGTTCTATAGTGCACTATAGATAGGTACACGACACAATATTGTACACAAATTATTGTCATTATAATTATAATTATAATGACTAGTATTGTACTAATTACAAACGCAATAAGAATTGTAATAATATAAAATACAATTTATTGTATTTTTTTTTTGTACAATTTACATGGTGTTTGCGCAAATCCCAAGTATTGTTTTTTTTATCAGCATTTCTTATAACGATGCGTTAAACGCGTATGAACTGTGAGATTATAGTAGAATCTACATAAATGTTATGATGATTTATAATAATATAAATGTACATAAGTTCATAGGTACATTATCATTAAAATAAAATACACGGTAGCCAAACCATCGAAATTATAACGGGTGGTTACTACTCACCAGTTACCAATTACAACGATAATAAATAATAGGCCGAAATCATTGATAATTCAAAATATTACTCAAGACTAACATAAATGTTACATAATAAACAATTAATATTATAATAATAAAGATAATATATTATTATATTAGGTACTCGTTTCGAATTTTCTTGATTTGTAATATTAATATTAAATATTATAATATTAAAACTACACAAGTCCAAAAAAAATAATGTTGGAAAACGTCAATTATAATTTTTTTAAAGCCTTAGAATTGTCTTACGGTGATGAGTTTCGTATTATTAAAAAAAAAATCAGCGCAATGATTAAAATAATAACGGATTTTATAAAATGTAATGAAATAAAATTAGACGTGTAACTGGAAAAAAACAATTACGAGACCTAGTATGACTAATACAGTTTACATCCGTATCAGTAAAACTAGTAGTACTATAAAGACGGTTATCGTACAACGATTACTACTAAAATTATGCAACAGCCGAGATTTAAAGTCTTAATATCATACAACAACAATGTCAATGGTAATATTGATATTTAATCGAAATATTACAGTTGTATAAGTTGTATAAATAATAATAATAACATAAAATCAAACAGATTAAAATGGATTATCGAAGTATTTTGTTATCGAATCTAATTGGTGTATTGCAATGGACTTTCATTCTAGTTTACACGTGTATGTGCTATTATGTAATACAACATTATAGGTACGTACACAAGTAATATAGACGTCAAATTTTACACGAAATAAGAAAAGAATGAGCACATTTTTCTTATAAATAAAACATGATATAATACATATATATATATATATATATATATATATATATATCA